CAGGGGACCCCATTGTGGCTCAGATCAATAACGGACTTAATCATCATAGTCGGTTAACAGTTGGATTCAAAGGACCGCCGCCTCCCCATCCAAACCGCTGGACCAGTCTTTGCTTCTCCAGCGATCAATAACAATTTGGTTAATATGCTCCTGTAGCTTTATACAGAGGTTTCCCCATTCATGCCAGGTTTCCACTGTCATTTTGCTCCAGAGGCAGATAACAAAGGGGTCCCTGGGTGGCATGGCTTTATTGCACTCTGGAAAGAGAAGAAAGAGAGCTTCCTTCCTAAAGGTTTGCCAGGAAAGAGGTTCCTTGTTCCCCGGATGGAAAGGAATACCATCTTTGTTGCTGCTGGTTGTTGTGTGCCTTCAAGTTGTCTCCAACTTACAGCAACCCTAAGGGGAACCTATCATTTTCTTGGGAAGATTTGTTCAGGGGTGCTTTGCTATTGCCTTCCCTGAGGTTGAGAGAGTGTGACTTGCCCAAGGTCACCCAGCAGGTTTCCATAGCCAAGCAGGGATTCAAACCAACACTGAAGCCACGATGCCATTTGGATGGCTTCAGCTCTGAGCAAATGACTGGCTCATCTAGGAGAGCAGCAGCTTACTACAATTTGCAAGGATTTAGCCATGGGAACCTAGTGGGTGACCCTGGGCAAGTCACGCTCTCTCAGCCTCAGAGGAAAGCAATGTCAAACTCCCTCTGAAGAAACCTTCCAAGAAAAGTCCGTGATAGGTTGGTTTGCCTTAGGGTTACCATAGGTCAGAAAGACTTGAAGACGCATGCCAACCACCACAAAACTGATTTGTTGGTGCAACTTGCAGAGCATCTCCAGGCAGTCTATGTATTTGCCAAGTTAACTTCTGCCTTTCCTCCCAAATGTTATGCCAGGGCTCACCCTCTCCTCTGCTGTGCATCCACCTTCTTGTTAGAAAGAAATAAACTAGACCAAATATTCTCCTATCTTTCCAGATTAGGTGATGTTGCTGATCAGGTGCCACTGGTTATGCTCAAGCACAATGCACAGTGCACAACCACAGTGCACAACCACATTGCTGTATGTACTTCTTTGCTTCTGAATATGTCTGTTGCACCGTAGTGCATGCACCCTGCATTCATGGTGTGCCTTCTACATGTGTAAGGTAACCAGTTGCCAGCCATTATTTGTTAGCTAGGCTGCACCTAAGCCATATATAGGCTTAGCTTCTGTGCTTTGGAAATCTCTTTTTAAAATTCAGATGAAAGTCCAGAGCATTTTCATCACTCCATTGGCATGGCTACCACCAGCCACATCTCTCTTTGTCCCAGACTTGTGTGGTTCAATGACAGGGGTCCCTCTGGAGGGACATTTTTGGTGATAATCCAACACTCTTTTTCCTTTGCACCCCGTGTCCCGAATCCAAATATTCACTGATTAATATAATGCAAGTGTATGACTTCTGTGACTTCGCCAGCCTTCCGCTCTTTGGCAAACCGCGTCTCTCGGAGCTGTTTCCATCTCCTCCTAACAAATGAGGTCGATTATTTGAGACCCAATTTTTGTTTTTTTAACGGAAGACACAATAAACCCATGATGATACGGAGCCAGACAGCTGGTTTTGATCTTCTGCCTCCCTCCGCTCATGCTCTCAGCATCCCATTGTTTTTCTTCCAGAGAGGCAATAAAGGTTTCTGATCAATCTATTTTACATGACGGAGAGGAAAATGTTTTACCAATCAGTAGGCTTTCAGACATAAACAGAGCCATCTGCTCTGTTTCAAAGTCTGGTAAAGGCTTAATTCCTCATTGGGAGGAAGGCCTCGCATGGGCTGCTGGAACCTGTGGGTTTTCTTGATGGGGGAAAGTAACAAAACCCAATTGCAACAGGCATCTTGGGGGTATTCTCCCTCCTTTGGATTCCCTCTAGCTGGACCACCGACTCTCACACTACATTAGACTAATCTAGATTTCAGCTGCTTGCACAAGTGGCCCTGTTGTTGCATGCCTTCGCGTCATTTCCAACCCATGGTAACCCTAAGGAGAACCTATCATGGGGTTTTCTTGGCAAGATTTCTTCAGAGTGGGTTTGCCCTTGCCTTCCTCTGAGGCCGAGAGAGTGGGACTTGTCCAAGGTCACATAGTGGGTTTCTTTGCCTAGGTGGGGATTCAAACCTTGATCTCCCAAACCTTGAGCCTTTACAGACTGCCAGAAATAGTGCAGCTTGAG